AAACGTGTGTGAAAGATCATTTAGATAGCTCCAACCGATTGCTAGAAAGAAGGGTTTGATTAGTATGTGTCGAAGCACTCTTGTTAGCGGTTTTGTAAACATTTTGGTCTTCTTTATCAAATTAGCGAATAATTTTTAAACCGCTCGATAGATTTTAAAAAAAAATTAAGATTCTTGAGATTAACCTTCCTTTTATATGACCTTTTAGTTTCAAGATTATTGATATATTGTAAGGCAGTAAAATAAGGGCTACAATTCGCTAATATTTTGGCTGAAATTTTGTGTTTACAAGTGTGAGCCTCCATTATTCAGGGTATTGTCTCCAAGTTTCATATTTTCGTGCACAACAATAGCTAGCAGTTTTGCATATGTCAAATGCATTGTTAGTTACTGCTGTTCACGTGGAAATGAAACTTGGAGACAATGCCTTGAATAATGAGAGGCTTTCTCTTGTAATGACGAGACTTCCAATAAAAAAGTAGCGAATTGTAGCCGTTATTTTACTGCCTTGCAATGTATCAATAATCTTGAAACTAAAAGGTCATATAAAAGGAAGGTTAATCTCAAGAATCTTAAATTTTTTAAAAAATCTATCGAGCGGTTTAAAAATTATTCGCTAATTTGACAAAGAAGACCAAAATGTTTACAAAACCGCTAACAAGAGCGCTTCGACACATACTAATCAAACCCTTCTTTCTAGCAATCGGTTGGAGCTATCTAAATGATCTTTCACACACGTTTTTAAAAAGATTGAAACTACTATGAGGTGAAATTGCATGTCAGAAGCTCTTCATTTTTTACAGATAATGGCCAAACAACAATATTGACCATTTTTTACTATGTTTCTAACCATAAACACTTCATCCCAAAATATCTCGATAACGCTCTTACAAATTTCGCTTAAACTTCACAAACATCGAGGCCGCTATTGGAGGAAAAAGCTCCTGTGAACGATTTTGGAAGAACAGTTCCTAGTGCCGAGATATACTGCTGGAAGTAAAATAGGTAATAGCGTCATTTCGTTGCTATGACAACTCCGATGCCGTTGCAACCTTCATCATGACAAATTTTCACCTTTATCTAATACAACTGTGGTGGCAGTTTTTCCAAAACTTTGTTTATGGCGACGTAGTTTATGCTCAAACTTGGGAGGTATTGACCCTGAAAAACTGTATCGAGCCACCTTAAAAGGGCCAAAGACGCAAAATAATTCATGCATATGTCCCGTGGGACGCAAAGGTCGATCGATCGATCTGAAGATGTTTAAATTTTTGTAGGATACCCATTTAATCTGATTTCTGTGGCTGTTCTTGCGGCTGTTCTTTAACTATTTCTTTAGGTCTTTGTTGTGTTTTACGATACAAGGAGTTCTTGATTCCCGTAAAATGTAATACAGACTGAGAGTTTTGGAGTCTACATGATACATAAAGGCCCAAAAAAATTCAGTTTAGTACTCATTGCTTTTTGAACTGGAACTCAATGGTTCTGTACTGGGACTCGTGATTCTTTGCAAGATGAGTCCCAGGACTAGTGTGCAAAGAAAGTCATTTCTACAGCTTGCCATTCAGACAAGCCGATAGCAACATCCACTTTCCCCGGGCTATCGGACACTACTTTCTTTGCACGCTGCCTAGGACTCACCATAGCTAATTGCAACAAAATCACTGATACTTAGGGAAACCACTACCGATCCAGATCACTTCTCGTTTCATTGTCCAGTTTTAGTTTGAGATATCAGCACCGTTTTACTCTCATGACTCAATGCAAAACCTATATTTGACTTGGATGTTAACGTTATGACTATGACCCGAGACAATCATAAGGTGTTTTACTAAAGAGAAATTAATAATAACGATTTATTGACAGTATTTCCAGTCTACATGGTAGCTCTATATCCGTTATGCTAACTGAAAACTAACGACTTACATAATGTTTTTCAAAAATCATTCACTATTTTACAAAATGCACTTAAAAACTGTTTAAACTATAACATCTAAAATACTATAATTATGTTCTTTGAGTAACCATAACTAAGAAACCTTATCAAGACAACTTGTAAGGTTAAACTTAGGCGCTTGTCGGCTCTACTCTTTAAAATTGTAAAACAATTATTTTTGAAAGTATTTAAGTCTGGACACCGCCTCGCATATGCGGGTAGGACATTGAATAAAGTCGCTAACGAGTCCTGGAAAGTATGCTTAACTTATAAAAGAATGTCTATTAAAGGCGCATTACTAGAGCGTAGTGTCACTGGGGATTGTGCCTAGGCAGTTGCAAGTATTCGGGCTAAGCTTCACTAAAAAGAGCTAGATGTCCAAGCTTAAGAATGTTTAATTGTGTATTTTCTAGTGTAGGTAGCTAGCCAAGCTCAAGGACGTTCCTTTCTAAATAGAAGCGATTCAAGACAAAACCAGCAGCGGCATTCTGGACGCGTTGTACTCTTTTCTGGATAAATGTGGGAAGTGGATAAGTGACGTTGTAATTAAAGTTAAGTTTGGATAGCTCGAGGCTTTGACCAAGAGACTTCTCAGTCTCTTGTGGTGATCTTTCTTAGAGTGGCTAGCACTTTATGGCATGATGATGTGACCTTATTTACATGTTCTGTCGGTTTAATGTCCTTACCTTGCCAGGTCCCTAACAACTTAAACTTCTCTACCCTATCAACTGCCTTGTCTTTCAAGGTGAGAGGTGGAGTCTTAGTATCCGTCTACATCGAAGTCTTTGGGAGTGGCGTGATGCAGCCCCGTTGTGTTGTTAGCGTACTGAAAGCAAGAGGAGCTATCTTGTAAGCAATCTTGCATATCATTCTCATAACGATTGAAGAGAACGGGCCCACGAATTGAGCCCTGTGGAACATTAAAGAATAACAGTGCTAACTTGGCATTAACACCGTGTGGTTAATTACCCGTCGTTTCGACTTTGTATTCGAAACGACCGGTTTCCAACACCTTGATTTTTGGCAAGTTACCCCAGGTATCAGACGTTTTTTTCTCGCGTGCAGCAGAATCCTGCGGTGTTGGCCTCATCTTTGTAGCCTGTGTACAGAACCCCCCTTCCCTCAGGAAAAATTGGAGAAGGGGAGGGGGGTTCTGTACACAGGCTACATCTCTGGCCCAAGGCCCAAGCCTGATGACTAGCAGCAGAGGCTTTTCATGCGCGGTTTCCGTTTTCGGTCGCACCCGTCTGGTATCTTGGGAAGACAAGTGGCGAAGTTATGAAAACGTGACCGAAACTGGAAATCGCGAATGAAACTTCGCTGCCGCGTTCAGGGTATTGACAAATAAGCATTTTTTTGCCCTTTTTCCGTGGGGAATGTCATCAAATCTAAAATTGTACAAATTCTAACATCTCCGTAAGTCTTAAACAGTATCGCGATGGATACTGAACATTAAATACAGAATCTACTCCTCAGCCCGACCTGTAATACTAAGCTACTTATCTTAAGACGGGAATTCTTGTCGTCTCGCTTCAGTTATAGGGGTGTAAATTGAAGATTTAAGTCTATACTAAGGTTTTCAGGACAGAAAGCTAAATAAAATATTTTTCGTATACAGATAATGATTCGTATCGCTTAAAGTTGTTACTCAGACACACGTGAAAAAATGCAAACAGCCGGAACAGGCAGGAAAAATACATGCCAGAGCAGGAGGAGAAAACCAAACAAACAGAAAACATGCACACATGGCGAACCAACAAAAATTTACAACCAAAGCAGAACTGTGTTCCCCACCCCCGTTTCACTTCTAATGGTCCGTCCCTCGCACTTCCGTTTGAGCGACGCACGTCAACCGGAAGTGAGACCTTCTCCCTTTAAAAATGCCTTGAAGCTAACAAATTTGTATTGCTAAGTTTCTTTTCTCTTATAAAGACGATTTACCCGAGAGTTTGAACCAAACCAATGCCCAATTATGCAAAAAGCTAAGTCCACTTCCGGTTGACGTCCTTCGCTCAAAAACGCTGTTGCTTAAGCCCCTAATACTGAGCCACTCTCAGATTTGGTAGCCATCACAAGTATCTCGTCCCTTTTCACAGGGACCCGCCTTTCCCCTCCCTCCGTACAACTGAAACCTCCTTTGTTAACTTTTACTTGGTGTACCAGGAACCTGAGTGTACTTATTTTTCACAGGAAGAAGTTGATAAAATCTAAAACTTTGGGACTGAACAACCAACCGGCTTCGTCCGTAGGGACTCCAGGGCTTTTTCCCATTAAGAAGTTAAGGGGGAAAAGAGGACAACCTGGCGGGAAAGGACAACCTGATCGCAGGTTGGAATGGACCAAGTTCGATTTATTTCTTAAAAAAATTATACCCGGCTTGAAGGAACAGAAAAAAAAAAGAATGCATTGTTCATCTCTTAACTTGGAGATTTATCACCATTTTTTTTATTTCATTCTCCCTGATTCTCCATTCTACTTTACTTGAAAAGTGGAGCCACTGACCAGCAAGTACTACTTTGAATACCCGTCGCCACCATGTTGTCACGTGACTAGAAATTTTAATAACGGTAGGATGTGGATAGCGTAAGTTCGAGAGCGGAATTTTCGTTGTGTCATAAACAACTTCAGCCTGTGGCAGGCTTCCTGCTTCATACCACAAGCTGGGAAAAAGGCCAAGAAAGCGAGTTCAACCTTGATAGTGAAAGGAAAAAGCAATGGTTATGAATAACGACACACTGAAGCAGGGAACGCCGACTCATGCTAGACAACTCGCGGAGAGCGACGACATTGCTAGCAGCTTGGTCTTAGACTCGATGCTGGGTTTTACCACGCATAAAATGGCCACCAGATTTCGTCCTCTGAAGGTGGACCAAGAAATCGTAAAGAAGGCACTCGAGCGATACGCCAAAGACGGAGACACAGAGCAAGCTTACAACGAAATCGTCTTCAACGGGGGGGATTGGGGGCGATGCTACTTCATCACAAAATCCAAAACTCAGATTGCGGCCTTCAAGGAACACGTAAGTTTATATATTTTGGTCTACAGTCAAAATTCTTTTCTTCCTTTATGTTATTTTCCTTCTCCGAAAGTGCAGCATATTTTGAACTGATTTGAAGGAGCTTTCGTATTTCGATTTGTAAACGCGTGTTCCGCTGTGTGTTGCAAAGAGCTTTACTACGACTTAAAAAAACTTTTGTGTGTTCCTAATTTATGCACGAAGCGGTTTTATTGTTTTATTTTCGGGTATCCAACTCTTGCATGTCAAATCTAATGTTCGGATTTGAATTTTCACCGAACGTCATCGGCTAGATTTTTTCGGTTTGATATTTTTGACTTCCGTTGTAAATCGAAATTCAATATGGGGGTTTTGAAATGACGTAATCGTGCACTGAGATGGTTTCGGTGCCGGCGTGCCGTTTCACAATGCATTTTGTGTCCCCCACATAAGCCAAAAGCAAAGCGCTCTTGATTACAGAACTTTTCTTATATATGAATTATTAATCCAAGTGGTCTTGATATTTACATGGCTATTGCCGAATCTTTGCTGATGTCATTGTTTACATTTTTTCTCATTAGAATACGAAGGAGCCATGGCCGTATATACGAACTAAATTCAAAAGTTGAAAGAGCTGATGAACATGAGCAATTTGTGCAATTTTCAGCTCTTTGCAAGCAATAATGAAGAAAAATCAGCCATTGAAAACTGCAAAATTGCTGGGTGGCAAGACAGTTAATTAGCTATATATAATCAGATAATTTCTCCGAAACCATTTGGTATATCAGGGTCAAATTTTCAGAGATAACTGAAATTGTTATGCTCTTTCAATATTCAGAGGTTTTATTTTATTAGCTTTATCAGATAATGATAAGCATATATTAATGAGGCAAAAAATATAAATAAATATTTGCCTATAAAAATATAAATTGAGGACTCACTTTGGAAAAGTGTGATAGCCTGGAATCTAGAGAAAGGGTGATAGGAACTTCAATTCACACAGTAATATTGTCGCATGACCAGTGTATAACTCAAGTTACAGAACATCAGCTCTGAACAGGATAATCTGTGAGAGGCTTTTTTCAATAAAGCAGCAATCAGTAAAACAGACATCAGGATTAATAATATTGTAACTTTAGTTTTGGGTTTGTAAAGTGCTTTGTATGGTGTGTTGCATCCCTCCAAATAATCCTCCAAGTGCCTGTGCATCTGCCTTCAACCCAGGTTACTACTCTTTTCCATTGTGAACTGTATAGACCAATAGATCAGTGGTATAGTTTACTGTTCTCACTTTCGTCCACTTTGATGAAGAAGGACAGAAATAAAAGGTGACAAGTTTTTCTTTTGATTGTAAGCAAAACAATAGTTCTTTGATCTTTAACAGCTTCTTCTTCTCGACTATACAAACAGGTTCCTTTATAAAGGAATCAGCCTTACATTACTCTTTGTTTTCACTCAGAATACATTAGCAAATGTCTACAAATTAAATGCTTTTTTTCTGCATTAGGTTTTCAGATACATTGGAATTTTTAATTCAAACTCTGGTTTTAAAGTCGTGCCTTGTGACCGATATTCTGGTGAGGAACGAGGTGCAAAAGTTGTGTCTACATGTGATTGGTAAGTAGATCTTAATACTTGTCTTCAAAAGTGCTTTTCCTCTCAGGGCTCAGAAAAATACGAAAAATGAAATAACTTGCTCACAGTCAAGTCCTAACTGATTGAAATCTGTCATCCTGGTCTTGCTTCAAGGAATGATTCAACTGTGGCAGGATTAGCTCAGTCAGTAGAGCGCTTGACTGCAGAGGGGGAGGTCGCAGGTTCAATTCCTGGGGCCAGACCAATACTTAAAATAACTTAGAAATGAAGGTACAGTTTTCTTTGCCCTGCAGGCGGCTGGACCTTTGCATGGCTCAGATGACCTCGTAAAATGGCGGTCCCGTCTCCATTAGGAGACGTAATAATAGTGTCTCCAGTTAGCGCTTCCATGATAAATACATTGACACCGAAATAAAGTGCCTTTTTTTGATAGACTCATAGTTTTAAAACTGAGTTTTGGTTAGAAACATGAAATTTGCAGGGTGCTATGAGTGTTGGCCACATGTTGAAAGTGATTCAAGGGTCTTGAGAACTCAAAAATGGCCTATCCTGACAAACACTTGATACTATTACTATTACAAGGCTTGAAAAAACTTGAATTTCAGCTTGTCCTGTGTGCAAGCAGCTCTCATATTCTGCTTATCTAGGGCCACTTCTTGCTTGTCTTAGTTAATGATTTGTTAGAGGATGACTTGCCTGGACCCCTGCCCATGGGGCAAAATAGCTTAAAAAGTTACTTGCCCCGCAAGAAAATCTACTTGTCTCAGACTANGTCGTTTTTAGTATCGTCACGCAACGCTCCTCAAAGTGGAAGCCAATCAAAACACTGCATTTGACAAAAGAATCGTTTCAAAACAAAAACACAAGCGCGCAAAGCCGTTTGGGTGAACATGGGCCTTTAAAATAACTTAGAAATGAAGGTACAGTTTTCTTTGCCCTGCAGGCGGCTGGACCTTTGCGTGGCTCAGATGACCACGTAAAATGGCGGTCCCGTCTCCACTAGGAGATGTAATAATAGTGTCTCCAGTTAGAGCTTCCATGCTAAATACATTGACACCGAAATAAAGTGCCTTTGTTTGATAGACTCATAGTTTTAAAATTGAGTTTTGGTTGGAAATATGAAATTTGCAGGGTGCTATGAGTGTTGGCCACACGTTGAAAGTGATTCAACATGGTCTTGAGAACTCAAAAATGGCCTATCCTGACAAACACTTGATACTATTAATATTACAAGGCTTGAAAAAACTTGAATTTCAGCTTGTCCTGTGGGCAAGCAGCTCTCATATTCTGCTTGTCTAGGGCCACTTCTTGCTTGTCTTAGTTAATGATTTGTTAGAGGATGACTTGCCTGGACCCCTGCCCATGGGGCAAAATAGCTTAAAAAGTTACTTGCCCAGCAAGAAAATCTACTTGTGTCAGACTACCAGACAGGACTTTTTTCTTGGTGGATCCATTGTTATTACAGGCACATTTAACTGTGACAAAATTTCATTGTGTTATCCAATGCCTAAGTTTAACATCTACTGTTATCTCTAGATAGCCCAGAGTTGTGCTCTAGCAGCACCCAGAGGCCCGTAGCACCCTGCTTTTGCTCTCGCGTGACTAGGAAATCTCAGTTTTTGTTTAGAAATCATGTGCTAGGCAGCCTGGTTTTCACAGGTTCAGAGCATTGGGCTCCCTAGAATTTCTCTTAGAACATGGCCTTGTAGCCAATATAGTGTTTTTATTGCAGGACTGTGTTGCAGCAGAGGCCAGTGGCTGCTAGTGAAGTACTTTAATATACCATAGTGCATGGAGGAAATATTAGCCCTTGCACAAGACTTGACGCTGTACACTGTATATGCCGGGCACCCTGCTAGATTATTGTTTTGCGCTCCCATTTCGTAGCACAGAGGAAATTTTTTTGCCATGCTCAGTGAATTATCATTCTTCTACTTTTAGGTACAAAGGTGACAAGCTTCCGTATCTGTGTGGATGCATTGCAGCAATGACTGAGGAGGAAGAGAAAAAGCTTCTACGTCCTGGAGAAAATGATTTTAGCATTATGTTTTCCTGTAGGAGGAATCTATCACAACTGTGGCTTGGGCCTGCAGCATACATAAACCATGGTATGTAACAGAAACAAATCTTATTTTTGTAATATCATATAGTTTATGATTGTATACATGTACAATAATATTGTATTAGACAGTATAAACCACTTATTCACAAGTGAATAGCATTCATTTTGTAAGGCAATAGAGTAAATCTGTGACCCAGAATGAAATGATTTAACATATCTTCCTTTGTTTCTCTTGCAGACTGTCGGCCCAACTGCAAGGTATGCTTCTGTATGAGTTGGTATCTTGTGCCTTTCAAACATGCCTGAGATGGTTTTCCTACTAAGCGGTCCTATCTTCCACCCAAATTCATTAACGTGAACTTTAACAGGGTTGTAAGTGCTCTCTAATGGTTATTATTACTCCTGAAACAAAAGCAAGTTTGTATGGCTAAACAGTAAGTTTAGTTGTGAAACTGTAAGCAGTGATTTGCTTTATGTAATCCTTTTTTTCTGAGATGGCCAAAAACTGTTTTGGCTGCCTTATCCAGCATTTTTGTCCCTACTAGTGTGCAAGTTCAGGGCTGTGCTCTAGCAGAGCCCAGGAGCCCCTGGCGCCTAACTTTTGCTCTTGGGGGACCAGAGAATCTTAGTTCTTTCATGCAAATCATACACTGTGCACCCTAGTTTTTAAAGGTTCAGAGCACTGCACCCCCTTCAATTTTCCTAGAGCATAGCCTTGGAGGTGGTACTGAAGGTCATTGAGTTGTATGTGAATACAAATCTTTTGCAAACAAATTTCTTGTTCCAAGGAAAGGTCCTTGGTTACACTGTAAACAACTTTAATGATTGTCAGTACTAATATGTACAGTAAGTTGTTTAATGACTTTTTATTGCGTGGTGCAGTTTGTGTCCATAGGTCGAGACACCGCTTGTGTTAAAGTGTTGAGAGACCTGGAGCCTGGTGAGGAGATCACATGTTACTATGGTGACGATTTCTTTGGTGACAACAATTGCAATTGTGAATGTGTGACATGTGAAAGGTACATCCCTTTTAAAGCTTTTCGTAAACAGGATTCACACCATTAAAAAAACAAGCATTTCTTGAAATTTTTCTGTGTTAATCAACTCTACTTTCAGTTGTACTGGGTTTAGTTAAGCACCCTCATTATTAAGCTCTCTTTATCATGATCAAAAAAAGAGTTTCGGGGCATTGGTCACTTTGGCACAAAGAGAAATTTTATGATATGAGATTAAGGTGCTTTACTTGTTATCATCATGATTTGACCCTTCTCCCCAAGTGGGGAATATGGCAGGAGTATTTTAACACGTGTCCAGTTCACTATGATAAGATTTTATAATTTATTCTTGTTAGCAATAATCAAAGCTGAAGATAATCTTATTACCACCAGACTTGAAAAAGTGACTCGTTTTCCATCAGTCCAATTATCAAACCAAACAGGACCGTTGGGAGTATTAATTATAAATTTACGGACATGTTTATTCTTTTTTCAAAGAGCCTTTTTGACTGGGCAATGTTTTGTTAATATCTTTTTACAGACGAGGTACTGGGGCATTTACATCCAAGGTGAAAGCTGTTGATAAGAAACAAAAGTATAGTTTCAGAGAAACGGACAAGAGGTTAAAAAGGTTGGCTCGCCGAATGACAGGTAAATGCTACAAAATTATTGAGAAATTACAAGTCAGCTTACTGTAGTTCTTGGTGTGGTGTAATGAAGGTGCTGTTTAATAGTAGCCTTAGTCAAGTAGTTGTACAATGATTGTAGAACATCCTGTGAGCAATTATGTTTTTGTTGCAAGTTACCTTTTAGAGTAAAGGTTCAAGACAACTGCAATAGAAAGAAAATTACATAAAAAAAAACAAGACTGAGGGTCATCATTAATGCTTCTGAGATTTGGACGTGTGGTTGAGACTCCATGGCCATAGTTTTTCTATGTACAGTTTCGGACTTTAAGGACAGGCTTTGGCTCACTGCACATGTTTCTGATAATAGTTATTTTCACTCCGCTGACACACAAATCAGTAATGAGAAATCATTTTACTGATTCTATGACAGTTGCGTGAAAAATAATTTCATGAGAATCTGACTCTACTGGTAAAAAAAATATTATTGTTAGTACTTGATTGAACAAAGTCATACAAGTTAAGTTTGATTTATGTCTCACAATCCTTCCATTACCTTCCCACAGGCTCATTTCTTGATGTTGATAATGTTCCCTCACCTAAAGTGTCAGATTCTGTGGACAGTGGTGCAGAAGAAAAACTTTGTGAAGAAATTGATTGCTTGATATCTGTTGATCTCCACACAACTGATCGTGAACGAAACCAATCAACAACCACAATTCCTACAAGTAGATTTTATTCTTCTTCTAAGAGACCAAAACCTCGGGCCAGTGTCACAATTGGTCTAAAAGAACTGAATGCTGCAAAAAGAAAACGACGGAGAAAAGGCCCAAGGTTATGCATGCCCACAAAACGTCGGAGAAAGCATACTTTTATTGGACATATTACAGAAGGCCCACTTGATGAAGTTTGCGCGTTTGTTCCACCAGAGAGGCACACATCTGTGGATAGTGGTGTGGACATAGCTGACAATGCTGACAATGATTTGTTTACGTATAGTGATAAATATAAATCTAACTTTACGTGTGACTTGTATCTTCCATCAAGGTCATTGGGAAAGAACAGTGACGGTTTAATGCTGGCCCGACATCGTTTATCTCTGGATTCAAATCTTGGCCTTCTTCCTCTTCAGAAAAGCAGTGCCAGTTATCGCTGCCCGTGCTGTCCTTGAACTTTTTAAGTCAGTGGAACATTGAAAACTATTATTATCCATGTGTCTCAGCACTACACTTACAAAAACTCTCAGTACCTTGAACCTTTGCTAAAAAAAGACCTTTAGTATTAGGCCCTTTGCGCGATGATGTCTTTTTACTGCTACGACCAGATTTAATTTTTTTTCTCTGTAATATTTAAAATTGGTACTCCCAGTGAAGTTTTGTTAAAAAAAACCACCTAATTTGCACAACAAAGCAAAACCGTGAAGGTCCTGGTAGTTGTAGTATAATGACACCATCATGCAATGGCTTTTTCTGACTTATACACCTGACTTCAGTCAATTTTATCAGTTTCATGAAAGTTTAGTTTTGGAAAATGTAAACCCCTTCAATTCCCACTGACCCACAGGAATGACAGTTCAGCTTTGCTGTAAAGAGGCAGCTGAGAGTTTCCTCCCACAACACTTCCTTCCTCAATATGAGGGAGTTTATGCTTACAGTGATGGAAGTTAAGATGTGTGACTAATCAAGATGGCAGTGTATTCACAATCTTTCACATTATTTTTACAGCTGCAATGACCAGCTCCCTTAATTTATCAGGAAAATAATGTTGGAAGATTTTCCACTGTTAAAAATTTGTTAGAGACCGCATCCACATAAAAAAATGAAAATAATGATTGGTCTTCCTAAATTGCCATAGCCTGCAAAAGCAGATTTTTATTTTGCTCCTTAAACCTGCCATTTTTTGTACTTCACTGATTGTTGTTGCATAAAGTCCCTTTTCGGCATTGACATTTTCTGGGTCTACACATAATTTCTGTGTGGTGAAAATTAAGGAAAAAGAAAAACTAAAAAAATATTAGTGTTGTATCCACATTAAAGTAATATATTCATCTATAAAATAATAATAATAATAATAATTATTATTATTAGCCGGGAAACAATGACTTACAAAAATTTGACTCATCTAATTTCTCTTTGATGTCTTCTCTATTTTACATTAAGCAAGTTAACTAATATGTGCCAGATGAGTATTGTTCAACATTACGTCAGTGTCTTATCTTTTGTTAGCGTGTGGGTTCTAAATTGCCTAAAGAAATATTTAGTCTGTGGTTCTGTGTCAATTCTGTCTTTCAAAGGAAGATTACAATCAGGATTTTCAGAAATGCGGTTGGTTTAACTAAAACACCCATTTTTCTCTGTGGCAGGGGAATTTGAGGGAAGTTCCTTTCATTTCAAAATAGGTGGAATTGTTATTATTTGGGTGTTGTGGCACTGGTTGTCACCTTTATCTTGAATATTGTACCCTTTTATATTCCCAGGAATGTTCTTCTTTTTTTTTTACAAAAAATAACTGTTCTGGAAAGTATACCTATCAATTCTTGTGCCTTAGGTGTGATCCCACCTGTAGTACAGATCAATTAAAACTTAAACCATTGTTTGGGAAATGAAGATTCCCATGTGAATGATCGTAGTTTTCCCTAAATCTCTTATTTTGGAAGTGAAAGCAATGGAACTGTGTGCTTTGGAAATTTTCAGAATGTGTTAAAAAAATGATCTTCAGTAAAAACATGAGTAAACCTCAAAACCATCAACTCATTACTGCTGTAGAGTTTGCAGTCTAGTTTTCTCACGTCTGATTGGTTTTTCCCTTGCGTAAATCTGCAATTACAATTTCATTCCATAAAATTAATATTTCTGGGCTGCGTTACTCAAAGCTGGATTAGTGTGAAATTTGAATTCAGACATGAAAGCTTAAAAAATAAGTTCAGTCCCATTCTTTTTGTCTACGGTGTAATTAATGAATGGTCTAAAGAGAATAGAGAAAATATCAGAGAAAATGCCCTTATTAAACAAAAGAAAAGGAAACTCGGATTAAAATTATTTAACCCCAAGTTTAAGCACTAATCAGCCTTCGAACAACTGGGCCTCTGGTGTTCATGTTTTTTTGAGGTTAACAATAAAATCTTAGTCCTTAACTTGTATTGGCCTTGGTATTAAGTGCTTAGTACTGAGAAGTGTAAGCTCTATATAAATATTCTATTATTATTATTAGTATGTTAAATTATTGATTAGGCTGGAAATAGTCAAATATTTAATTAATGTGTAAGTTCTTTTTTATTGGCCTGGCTGGGGTGGTTGTTTCAGAGCTGACCATTAACCCTTAACCAAAAACTTTCTGTCATTTATTTTGCCAGACCTTTATTCAAAAGCTAGTTCTGCATGTTATTTAAGTTTCATGTGAAAACAGGACATTATCTATACAAACAGAAACTAAAGGATAGAATTACTTTGCACAAAATCATTCAGTATTGGTATTGATCAGAAGTGAACTGAAAGCCTGTAAGTCAATTGAAGTTCAGTGGGGTAACTAAGTCAATCTTCAAACAACCTGGTCAATCTATCTGAAGACTTTCTGAGGGAATAAAAAGGGCGAAGAAGTGATTCCATGCAGTTATGATGTAGTCACATGTAATATGCTTAAGCTGACCTTTGTTTTTCCAATGCATTTTTAGTTAATATAGGGCTTGAAAAGAGCCTCATCTGGTAGTTGGAACATAAGTAGATTTTCTTGCTGGGCAACTAACTTTTAAAGCTTACTTACCCAATGGGCAAGGGTCCATGCAGGCAAGCCATCCTCTAATAAAATTATTAACTAAGACGAGCAAGAAGTGGCCCCAGCCAAGCAAAATGTGAGAGCTGCTTCCCCACAGGACAAGCTGGAATTCAAGTTTTTTTTTTTCAAGCCCTGTAGTATTAAGTACGAAATATTTGTCAGGAGGGACCATTTTTGAGTTCCTAAGACCCTTGAACTCCTTTCAACATGTGGTCAACACTCCTAGCACCTTGCAAAGTTCATATTTCCGACCAAAACGCAAATTAAAACTACCAGTCTATCATTCCTTGAATCAAGACCAGGATGACAGAGTTCAATCAGTTAGGACTTAACTGTGAGCAAGTTATTTCATTCAGAGATATTTGGTCCTGGGTAATAACAAGCAGTATGCAGTTCAAGTATTTTTGCCAGTTACCTAGCCCTTGTAGCAGGCACCAGTTTTTTTAGGCCAAAGGGAGAGATTGTGACAGAGGTGCTTGTCAGAAAATTTCTATAACACCCCTAAAAGGCACCAGAATCTTGTTTTATGGGCGTATCCCAAATTCATTTCTACCCCCTAAGAGGTACCAAAATGAATTCAACAACAACAAATTGTATAACTGCATGGCACTACAAATTTTCTTGAGGATTTTTTTAAAGTATCATATTTACTCGAATAGACGCTGCGGCGTTTATTTCATTTTTCACGATCCAGCTGCGGCATTTATTCGAGGGTGGCGTTTCTTCAAAAATCACTTTATTCAGTACTAAATATCGTACTACATATGGTAACTTTTTTACTAGGTAACAGTAAAAATCTCAATATATAAATGTCGTTCATTTTGTCTATTCAATTGTGATTTTTACACAAAGTTAAACTTCTGTTTCAACATCACTGTCCTCCTCGTGGTCGCTGGTTTAAACTTGAAATAGACTTTTCTTTAATAATTATTATAAATCATCATTTCCTCAAATAAACGCCGCACCATAGATGCGGCGTCTATTAATATTTTGAGTCTCAAGTGCGGTGTCTATTCGGGGGCGGCGTCTATTCGAGTAAATATGGTATTGTCATAAATCTAGAAGCGTATCATTTTTAACAGAATACTGAGACAACTCTGGCAGCAGTCATTTTAGGTTTTAGCTCCCTAAGCTGTGCCAATCCACAAATTTTAAAAACCCCTAAAAGAAAGATACTATGAGCACCCTCGTCACATTTATAGGGGAGTACCCACCTTCCCTGGGTTTTCCCCTCTTTTGCTATGTAGGACCTAATCAAATAATTAACTTAATGCCTGCCACACCGGCTACCAGTTACCCTAGTTTGCATGCAGACATCCCCTGTTTGCAATGAAGTGAATATGGAGTTGACATCTGCACAGGATACAAATTGCACAGTTTATTTCATGGAAGGGGTACTATGTAATATGCTGAAAGTTTAATTTGTAGCTGTGCATGCCACTACACAGTCACTACCTTTGATTCATGCTTATTCTTTTTACAGGCTTAGAACAACATTATCAACACACCTTTTAGTAAAATGAGATGTCGAGGCTTAATAAAAATCCTACACTTCTCAAAATCCAATTTTCGATCTGGAATGCATGGACACCTTTGAATGAGTTCTTAAGAGCTCCTAAGTGCTTTGTGGGTAAACAAATTACAATAGATAAAAAATTGCAATTTTTACAATATTATTGCTATATGTCTAACTAGGATAAATTAACTCCATCTGAGGTTCAGACGAGACAGCTTTGGATGACTTTATTGTCTGGTTTGGCTGACATAACTTTGGGTGATATTTTAAAGATACACATATTTTGGTCTTACTTGGTGATCTGTAAAAATCTTTGAATTTGCGAGAAAGTTGCTAATACATATTTTGTGTGTTCTTATCAGAACCCCAGTCCTTCACATCATTCAACATTTTTGCAATTTACCATACATTAAATTAATAGACGTGAATTAATTATTTTCCTTGGTTTCTTGTTGGCTTCCTTCATTCTGAAGGACTTTCCCCAGTTGACGCTGAGTCCTGTAAATGAAGCAAATCAATGGAAATGCTAAATTCCATAGCTCAAAGGGAGTTTTCTTGACTCTGCAAGATTGAGCACCGCTACCTCCTTTTGAACTGTGGAAACTAGTGCCTAGCGATTAATCCAAACTACCCTGCTTAAGCTATTTTTGTAAGCAGAGCTTTTCTTTTGCTTGCTTAATTTTGGCATACACCATCAAGAAGACAAATTTAAAGGAGGCAAGAATCATGATAAAACTGTGACAGTTTCTAATTCTTCACTTATTAAATATCTTAATATGAATAGCCATGTCCTCTTCTACATACCCTGGCTCCAGAGTTCCATTCTCGAAATACCTAAGATGAAATAAACGGTGCTCATGTCCCAGCTTCGCCGCGAAATATCAGGAATTAGACAGAAAAAAGACCCTCTGGAACCCAGGGTATCTTATACAAGATACCCATTTTATGACTTTTTGTAAGAACATTCAGCCACATGAGAAGCATCCAATCAAAAGCATCATGTCATTGGCCCCTTTCTATAGCCTGAAAACAAGCTCTTCTAAGAGGCCCTAAAGGGCCTGTTTATATGGAGGTGGGGGACCCCATATAGATGAGGTTACATTTTGCGGGTCACCCCACCTATCATGTAAACGTGATCAAATTAAAATGAAAGATTATATGGACAGGCGGGTTACCTCACCTACCTGGGGTTCCCCACCTCCATGTAAACAGACCCTTAGTGGGAAAGGGAAGAGAAACTCCCCCCTCCTCCTCCAGAGAGTGTTCGCAAGCTTCCTAGAGGGTGGGTGCTATTAATTCTATATTTGACGGGGTACCCTTTTCTCCTGGCCCCGGTAGTTCAAACGTTAGATAACGCTATCCATCGGATACCTGGGCCTACCTAGAGGTGTGAGTTTCCAGACAAACCCAATGCACCCTTGCTACCTTTATACCCATGCCAGCACGCTCAGTTCTGTCTCATGGAATCATCACAAATTGAAGTCGTCTACTTCGAATTTCGACTTCACTTTGTTTTAAAACTTCATGCAATTTAGAATCTTAATAATGTCTTTATAAACGTACGTACATTGACATGAGACTAGGATAATGGCGTCCCTTTCTTGAGGCCAACTTCCGAGTACAGGGAGAAAAAAAGGTGTCTGTTGGACTCATTAATACCACATTTGATCTACAAAGTAAAAGAGAATAGTAGTATAAGTATAAGTCTCAACTTTACAATAAGCGTGATTAAGATGGCGAAACTTTCGGGAGAAGTCCACTGCAGCTGGGTTTACATAAACTTAACTTCAAGAATTATGACCGTTGGTTGTTATTATTATAAGCTTACACTACTTTTTGAAGTACGAACCTTGACGAACAAAATGGTGAATTTTCTGTTCCCTTCGGCAAAGATTTTTGATCTGCTGTTGAATCTTTGTTCTCGTTTGGTTGAGCATTATTGTTTCTTAGGACTTGACAGTTTTCCATTTTCCTTTTTATAAGTAAACGAATGTCATGTAGTGATCACCAGTTCCAGCGAAAAACTTGAAAATGAGCGCTTTTTTTCCATATTTGGAGAATAATGCCATATTTGGAACAAGTTGGCTTGAGGGAATTGGGGAAGAGGAATATGGAGGACGTGCTTCATCAGTTTGGAGGAGACAATCTAAATAACTCGGGAAAAAAGGTACTTTCACATGGTTTAGTAGCTTGTATGCGATAAATAATAACTAAAAGTATCTTTATAATCCATCAGGTGTAAGATTTCAATCAATGTCAAAATACTTGCGTGCCCCGGTCGCTGCCATAATGGTAGCGTGTCATAATCATTCAACTTGAACCTTGGTGTTATAATTCAACTTAAGTTTACCTCGCATAGGTGGTAATTACAATCCTCGGGAGAGAAGCGAAGTGTGATGATTGTGGACTGATGGAAAGTAAAGAAAACGTAAAGAAATGATTGGCTGAAAGAGTTACCAAAGTGCGCCCTTTACGTGACTGTAATTACATGAAATACTTGGATGCAGTGTCATGCTATTTAAGCTTTAAAACTTACAATGTAGAGCTTTGTAAGGATAGCAACTGCGATACTCCATGGATCAGGGAATCTGGTACCCCTGTTAAGTGTCAGAATTTGTACTGGATTGAGGGAAAAGTTGGGTGAGGATGAGGTGATTGAAGAACCACATTAAAAATCCTCCTGTACTTTTATTAAATTTGACTAATTACAGGTGAGAAGTATTACAAGGAGTACAAGTGCTGGCATAAGAACTGGAAAATGTTCTTGATAAGAGAGCTACTGATCTTGTATTATGAAATAACAATCAGGCTGAGAAAAATTGCTTGTAGAGACTTCACTCATTCAGAAAATCAAAGTGTGTTTTAACCGATGAGTCAAAGTATTGGTGTGTTGTGACATTTCTTTATGGTTGTTCTGTTAACAGCCATCGTTGCAGACTGGAAATAATTCTCACCTTCTCTAACTCATCTCATTTCAAGCATTTTTACTATTAATTTTGGAGGTTAAAATGTTTCAAAACACATCCACAGCTACACCCAAGCCTAGGAACTCTGGATTTCAAGTGATGGGAATGATCGAATGGGGGCAAAAATGAAAACCCCAAAAAATCCCTAGAGCTTCCAACAAAACCCCAAATAATCCCTGGACCGAAAACTAAACCCCCCCAAAAATTTCCAAGCCTTAAAAATTTACAGAAAGCAGTAAATGATATTACACAAAAAGTTTGGTTGTACTTTATTTGCAAAACTATGCATGGATATCAGATTGTTTTGAATACCCCAAAAAATCCCTTCTTGAATCAAGCTACCCCAAAAAATGCTTGCCAAATGTTCCTACCCAAAGAAATCTCAGAATTGAAAATTACAAACACAAAAAAACGCTTTGATCATCCCTGTCTCTTGAAATCCAGAAAACCCTCCCTGGGCAGCTACATCAAACTGCACATTCAACTCCACCATTTGAAATCTGCTCTATGAAACATAATTTATGCTGCCTCTCCGTTAGGGCAGACAATGATCTGAACGGTGGAAATTGACAATAGCAAACCATGCGTCTAGGCATCTTTTTCAGGGAAAGGGCGCGAGCTCATTTCCCAAATAGTGGCTGATAATTGAGCCTAGCATAATCTCTGTTCACTCAGCTTTGCTGTTTCATGGTCAAACTTGCAGGACTCTGATATGATGAGCAAACCATACCCAACACAACCAGACCTTCCTCATAGTCAGTATAATCCAACAGCATATCAACAGCCTGATTACAGCCAGTTTGATCTGGTGAGAGCCACGCAGTATGGCATCTTTGACAGGTGCCGTGAATTGATTGAGAAAGAGGGTGTTGATGTCGATACACTGGACAAGGAAAATGTTTCAGCTCTACACTGGGCAGCAATCAACAACAGAATAAGGATAGCTGAGTAAGCACTTATCTTAAGTTGGTGTTTATGTAATCATCCTCTCAACTTGTTCCTTGTCTGTTAGTTTTTCTAATTTCGTAAAAAAAAATTGTCACTATTGAAAGAAATTTCAGTCAGACAGGGACAGGCATTGTTTTCTTTTTTTTGTGTTTATACATGATATATACTGGTTTCCAAACAATAATCAGGCAATCACTGTTGAGCTTATGGGTGAACAACTTTTTCACTTCTTATGTTCTTAGATAGCACTTCTCCTGGAGATGTTGTTCGCAATAAGAACTAGTTGAACTGTCCAACAATAACCTGTGTTTTGATCAACAAAATTTCACTATTCTGGTTAATAATTTGGTAATCCTAGATTGAAATCAACAAATCTAGATTGAAATCCATCTAACTGTAGTTTTTGACTTCTTAGAAACCAACAACAATAATGATGATAATAGTGATTAATAATAAATACTTATTCTCTCCCCTTTTAAGGGGCTTTGTAAGAATAAGTTTTCCTTTTAAATTACCAACTAAAGAATAAATCCAGCTCCGGTAAGAGGGAACTTGAACCCAGGATGCTCCCACTGGGCCCTGCATCCTGTACTTAAAACTCTGCATTTATTGACAGACCTACTTCTACTTCTTCTTCCCTTCAGGTACTTTGTGTCAAAAGGCCCTACTGTAGATCAGAAGGGAGGCATATTAAATGCCACACCATTACACTGGGCTGTCAGGTAAGAATCTAGTTACCTGAAAACACTTTTTATGTTAAAAATGTTGTTACACTTTTTACTGCCATGATTCAGTTAACCCTTGAAGCTCCAATATTCACATACAAATTTTCCAGTCTGATCTCCATATTTTGCCCAACAGAATTAGTTGAGATGACCTTTGATGATCACTTCATTGATTCTCATAATCTTTTCCCTTGATTTGTATTGATATTGTCGTGAGAAAGTTGGTTTGGGTCATTCTTGGGACAAAAAGGCTAAAAACCAGTTTGGTCATAGCATTTGCTGACATTTTTTCGTGTGGGCTTGTTTAAATGTGGCTAAATGGAATTTAGGCTAAGTTAAACACAAAGCAATGCTGGCCAGCGGTTTCTCCCAGGGCTGGTGTGTTGGGGGGCCGGGGGTTGCCTGCAGGGGTTTCACATTTTTTACAGCATGGCTTTGGATGTCAAGTCATTTTGCATTTGTGTCGCGCTATTGGGCAGTTTTTTCGCTAGTTTTTTTTTTTACCCCCAGCCCTCCCATCCCTCTTGGCTTGGTAAGTATGTGGTAAGTATCTTAGTTTCCACTGTTTTGGTGGTTGCAGCTGACAGGGTTGTCATGGATACCCTACGTGCTAGGCTCGGTTTGATTTGTGGCTTCACCTTCCTTTCAGGCACCATTCCCGAAGCTCATCTATTTTTCATGGGTTTAATGTTCTTTACCAACTTTTTTTTTCTATTAATTTGCAGGCAAGGTCATCTTGAAATGGTTGTGTACCTCATGAAACAGGGTGCAGATCCTGCTTCACTTGATATTGAAGGTAGTGTCACTTTGGAACTCTCCTTAAAGATGTGTATTGCAGTGTGAACACTAAAACTAGGACACATGGAAGAAGATTGTCTAATCACAATGTTTTCTGAAAACAAAAGATTCTGAAGTTTTTTTTTCAAACAGACCAATAAAATTCAAGGTTCAACTAAGCAACCATTGAAGACCGTTTGAACTTACCTGATCTCTCAGGAAACAGCACTCAAATAATGAATGTTGTTGGTCCTTTTGCACAAAAAAAACTTGTGAATGTTTTGTTATTAGAAAATGTTGTGATTGGACAATCTTTTTTTAAGTGTCAGCACCGTAAAAGTACTAAGATATCTTTAGTTAATATTTTGTTGCTGAATACATTTTGGTAAACATCTCCTAAAAAATCCTGAATGTTTTGAAAATAAATCATAATCAGTATTTATTATTGTTGTTCATGATGGATGGGGCAGAAGATTTTTTTTCTAGTCACAAATTTGGAGAGTAATCTCCAGAAATTGTTCCCCAAAGTAGAAATTTTAGCTCATTGCCACCTTTATCAGGCACTGTTTCATGCCCTTCAACAGTGTGTCATCAACACCAGGAAAGTTTAAAACTCTGGCTTTGTTTTCTATTAATTTCCTTTGCGTACTTACTTTTCACCCTGTTCTGCACTTGGAGAGAAGGAATTGACAAAGATGATGACCTAAAAAGTAACAACTGTGTCGTTATACAGGCAAATGTGTTAAAGCAATGATTCACAAATTACTTTTGTAATATCTCATTCAATTATTCAATTGTCTTAATAGGTTGTAGTTGTTTGCATGTTGCTGTTCAACATAGTCAGATGGGAGTAGTTGCATATTTAATTTCAAAAGGAATGGTATGTATTCCCTTAGTGAAATACTGTAGCCTTAACAGTGTTTTTCTTGAGCAAATGGGTCAAAGAAGTAAAGGCACAGTGTATATGTACAACCCTTGTCAAAACATCTTGGGACACTTGAGGAAATTAGGCACAAAGATGCACTTTGCTAAATTAACTCATATTCTACCTCTTAAAAAAGCTTTGGGATGTTATAAGGGGCTATTTCTACTGTCCCCCTCTCTCCCAAGCAGTGTTGATTGTGTTGAATTAAAACTTGAATGTATAACTTCAACATTGCACCGATGAGGGGAGGGAAGATGCCTCAATTTGACAAGCTATTGCGTTAGTGTCCCAAGAGTTTTGACCAGGGTTGTAGTTGTGGGGTATTGAACACAATAGGAACTGTGAAGACATCTTAACCATATATTTGTGTGTCGGTGGAACAATATGAGACAACAGCTTTGGTTTGTTTCAGGATGTTGATCAGCTTGACAGAAATGGCATGTCACCGCTAATGTGGGCAGCTTACAGATGTTTTGGGTGAGTAGAGTACAGTCAAACCTCTCTGTGTGACCACCTCTCATTAGCAACCAGCTATCCAAACACCAAAATTTTTTCCAGTCAAAGCCCTATAGTTTAGAAGCTCTCTTAAGTGACTGCAACCATGTAGGGCTGATGGTTTTACAATTTTCTATTGTTTTAACCTCTTGTAAGCAGCCACTTGACTCATGGCCTTATCTGTTTGATCGCTGGGTGTACTACACTACTCATGATCAGAGTATGTCAAGAACTTTTAGTGAGAACATGGAACTATACATATCGCAACTTAGAAATTGCATGCAATTACTCTTTCTTTTGGGATCTCCTCTTGAAAGGGAACCCCTATGGACCTATACTCGGAAACAACCACTAACTCTTCACATTTTGGTGGTTACTACAGGAACCTCAACTGTTTAATTGATTTATACTACTGCATGAGAAATTTCTGCAATTTGATTGGCTCAGAGCAGTCGTATTTCAGCTAAATTTGAAATACCTACATGTGAAAATTACAAACCTTTTGTGGGTAGTAGTACAAACAAATAATACCATGATTTGTATGTGATATTTGGCATAAATACCACTTGCGATATTTCAAAATTGTCTCGAATTTCACTCGCCTAACTGCTCGTGAAATTGCGTGTAACAATTCCGAAATATCACTCATGGTATTTATGCCTAATATTTCTACAAATCATGCTATTACTTATACTAATTACCACTAAAAACTGCCATGGTGAGTTGGGCTCCATCTTTAAATATTATTATGATTATGATTTTGATGATGATTATGGTGATGGTGATGATGCATAAATAGAGGATATTACATGGCCACGTGGAGATATGAAATTTCTCTTCGAGTGTTGAAAAATATTTCACGAGTGAGCGCAGCGAACGAGTGAAATATTTTCAACCCAAGAAGAGAAATTTCGTATCTCCAAGCAGCCATGTAATGTTCTATTAATTATATAAACACCAATGAAATACCCAACCATTTCACTGAAACAGTTTTATCCTGCGAAAGGCGGGATTTATTATGTAGCCATAGCAACGGTAATATTTTTCACACGTGGAAATAACATGTTATTTTCACGTGTGAAGATATCATGTTTTCGTGCGAAAGCTCACCTGGTATTTCATTGGTGTTTATATAATAATATGTGGTATGTCACAGAAGGAAAGCAATTGATGAAGCCTTTGAAATTTCTTTCAATAAAACAGCTTTTCTGCAAGAAAAGATTACACAATGTTCTAATTGGTTCCAAAATCAAAACGTAGAAAGTTCACTAAAAGTGACTGAAATCCATTTAAATAAACTGTCAATCAGAATTCAATTATAACTCAGTTCAATGTAAAATCAACAAATAGTCATGTAAGTTCCAATAAATTTGGCGGAAACCTTGGCAGATTAGACCAATGTATCAAATCCTACCACACCCTAAGAAAAAAATTGCAGTGAGAATTTAATGACTGTGACATGTATTTGAATCCTGTAGATAAACCATTCTTCTTAGTGCTCACCAAACAGTAGAATGTTATCAACAGTGAAATCTCTAGACTATAAGTTTGTCATAACATGCAAGTACTTAACCACGGAGACATACATGTACAGCAGATTCAAGGATGATAGGCCACTAAAACTATAATGAAACGCTAATTAATCAATATCATTGCTATTAAAGAAGACAAGGAGAGAAAATTGATCTACATTTACACAAACAGATCATTTACAGTTTTAGAGTAATCCTTTTGCTGCTTTTTTTCCAATTATTTTAGGTTGGAGTTGACAAGAATGCTTCTAACCATGAATGCTTCAGTTCCCCTGGCAGACAAATTTCACAAAAATACTGGTAAGACTCTCAGTAAATTTTTTTAGTCTAGGTTGATTCTCAGTTTCCTTTGTCTCCTGGGGCTAGAAAACTAAGGAAATTGAAATCAACCTAGGTTAAATCAAAATTAACCTGAAATCAAGTTTTACCTTTTATTTATTTATTTTTATTTTAAAAAAGTGTAAAACATCACACATTTTATTTATAACATATACTAACTATGAAAATACTATTTACAATTAATTCACTTTAAAAAAACTGTTTCGTCAAAACACTATTTACAATTCCCTTTGTTAAAAAAACACTTAGTTTTGATTAGAAAAAAAATTCATTTCATTAAATAAAAATTATTCAAATTAAGAACATTTCATTTCAATTAAAACAATTCATTTTGAATAAAAAAAGAAGAAACTATTTTCAAGGTCAATTGCATTCTTACTTAGATAATCACTAAAAAAAAATCACTAAAAAAAGAGGAAAATTAAATAGCATTCACAATGCGTTAATGACAAATATTTGCCATTTAAAAGTAAGGAAACACATCAATAGTCCAATCAAGTTTTAATCAAGTTTTACCTGTAACAATAGTGAGTTTATGCAACAGGATGTTAGAGGGAAGAGGACAGCAAAACGTTTGTGTAACAAATGTGACAGGGCTATCACATTAATGTTTTGTCCTGATCTTCACTTAACATTACTGTGTTCTTGTTTTATACAAACGTTTTGTGTAAAGGAAGGTGAAGTTTGGTGGAAATTTTTCAAACATACTTACTGTCACACAAGGTTTTGCTGTATTCTTTCCTCTGCTATACTTTTGTGTAAATTCACTATTACGAATTGGTGCCTCTGCACCAATAAATTATGGCATTTTTAAGGCTGTTTGTGGGTTTTTTGTCCATTGACAGCTTTGCACTGGGCAGTGATGTCAAATAATCATAATGTCATTAGAGCACTTTTAAGGGCTGGTGCCAGCATGGATGCGTTAAATGCCGAGGTATGGAATCTTTTCAATGTATTATTATTGTTGTCAGTTTACTAGTCTAAGTGTAGTAAAAGTGTGGGTCATGTTTCTTGCCACAAGAAGCATAAAACAAATTCATTGTATTTGCTCGAAAAGATCACCACCCTTGAATAAGTGGCACTCTTAGGAACCAAAATTCCCTGTATAAATACTACATTCTCCATGCAGCAATGCGACAATTGTTGATTTTTGACTCCGTTAATGCTGAACTGTTAATATGGCTGATATTGTAATTTTGATACTGTTATTTAACAATGAATGAGGCTGAGCATCTTATGAAGAATTGTGGAGATTGAGGAGGGTGTTATCCGTCGAGGCTGTAGGCTGAGGCAGGTAACACCTTCCGAGATCTCTATAATTCTTCTTATGATACAAAAGCCGAATTTAATAATATTGTTTTATTATTAATTCAAAATAATTCCTAGGTTAAAAACATAGCTAAAACATGCTTACCTCCATCGATGTTAAGTTCATCTTTGATAGTGCACATTTAGGGTTGTTCAGCTCTGCAAATATTCTCCAAATAGCAGATTTCGCCATTCAAGTTGTCTTCTTGTTGTTCTTGCCATGTTTTTAGCTACTATTTCGCCTGGTTCTTACTCTTTAAACGAGTGAAATGTCCGCCATTTTGTTTTCACAACCAAAACAACTCAACCTTATCCCCAGGTCTTCTCGGTTAAAGGTGCATTAAACTGCAAGAAAGCTACACTTTTGACGTCATTGGTTCATTTATCGCAAAATTCTTCCAAATTTGGTCATCCGTAGCTGGTTATGGTGAATTATGCATGTGCTTTTAGCCAATCAGAATCGGGAAAGTAGTTTGGATGAATAATAAGGTCAATTATTTGGATCTGGAAAGGGACACCACCTTTAGAACTAACTTGTATTAAATTCAAAGGATGGAAGAGGAAAGAAATATATTTTTCTTAGTATCAGAGTGATATGGGAAGTTTTAAATAAGGTCCCCTCCTAAATGGGCCCCGCCCAAATTGGTGATCTTGTTCAAAATGTGTTTATTTCAATCCTTTGATATCAACTTTTCATCTGTTAATAGGGTCAGTCACCTTATGATCTGGCAAAACAAAAGAAAAGCAAATGGATTTTGATGCAAATGGACTTAATGGCAATGGATAAAGGGAAAGGAAAACCAGTATTTTTACAAGCATTGACAAGAGATAAGGTAGGACTTTATAAAGGTGGAAGGGGGGGGGGGGGGGGGGGGATAGGGGGGTTTGGTAAGGTGTAAGGAAGATTTTGGGGTAGGAGAATTTTTGGCATTTTTCCATTTTTTTTTTTTGGGGGGGGGGATTAATTTGCCAAGATGTTTGAGTGCTGTCTTAATCTTGGAAGTGGTTACATCAAATATGGAAACAACCCTAGGAGGTGACAGGCCCGGGGCACGGAAGGGCTGATATTCCCCTTTATTTTTAACAAGGATCTGCGTTAGGAAATTTCAAAAATACCCCTAATGCAAGCTGGATCCCTTTTCGATTTATAGGAATTAAGAGGCAAAGTAGAGAGGGAGGGAAGAAAGGGTGTAAGATGGGAAGTTGGGTTGGGAGGGTGGGAGGGAGGGTGGGGAGGGGGGGGGGGGGGGGGGGGGGGGGGGGGGGGGGGGGGGGGTGGGGGGGTTTGGGGGTGGTGGTGTGGGTGGGGTGGTTGGGGGCTTTTGTTGTTTTTTTTTGTGTGTGGGGGGGGGGGGGGGGGGGGAGGGGAATAATATGCCAAGATGATTGAGTGCTGTCATAATCTTGGAAGTGGTTACATCAAATATGGAAACAACTCTAGGAGGTGCACTGCCTGGGGAACGGCAGGGCTGATACTCCCCTTTATCTATAACAAGGATCTGTGTTAGGAAATTTCAAAAATACCCCTAATGCAACCTGGAGCTCTTTTTGATTGGTGGGCATTAAGAGGTACCAGTTCTAGATCAACCAATGAACTGGCCTTGACAGCAGGTCTTAAAGTCCAATAATTGAACTTAAGGATGTACTGTCGGGTGAGCTGAAAAATGAGGGGTTTTGTTTTATATTGTTATAAAACAAAACCCCTCATTTTCAGCTCAATATCCCACATAGTCCCAAGCAACTCCAAATTTTAGGCCCAAAAAGGGATTACATTCACTCCCACCATTTTTTTATGGTCATTCCCCAATCCAGGTGCACTGTTGCCATGGTTTTATATTGAACTTCACAATTGGAGGTCCAACATTTTCTCTCAATCTTTGCCCCAAGTATATAAGACAGCAAACTCCCCAATTTTTACTCTGTCCTTACTTAGCTGTTTATATTATTTTCATGCTACAGAAACCCGGTAGCTTTGGCTGCGGCAGCCCACTGGGGTCATATAGTGCTAATTTTTGGCTTTCTTTTTAGGTTGCTCAGCGTTATGTTCAGATAGGGCTGCCCTTCTTTGTACTATTTGGTGTTGGAGCAATCTTGGAGTTTTCATCTTCTTGGGTTATGTCACTACCTCTTCTATGTGCCCTAGGAATAATAACTCATTATGGACTGAAGTAAGTTATTAACCCTTTAAACCCTAAGATCAAAATTTGAATTCTCATTTGTTGCCCCTATTCATTTCCTACAGAAGAAGTGGGGAGAAGTTGATAAAATATCAAGCAAATTCATCTTGTTTGATCATGTCTGTAATTCTCATGACCACTCTGTTTTACAAAGCATTGATATTACAAGGAGAAATTTGATGCTGATCACTCTTAGGGCTTAAAGGGTTAAAATAATGTAACAACATTGTATCTATTCTATTTAGAAAGAGTTTTAAATTGAAAGGAAAAAAGCTTGTTAAAAGAAGAATGTTGGAAAATGAAACAGTTAATTTCAGGTCAATAATGTAATGCACATCATCACCACAGTGTAAACTAACATCAGTCTTGGTCTATGCAATGTTTGCTTTGATTTCCAAACCATTTCTGCCAAAATGCATCAAGTTTTGAAAGCTCTGCAATACTATGATGACAAATCACGCTGAAACTGCAGCTAGTTTTCAATACACTTTCAATTTTTATTGCAGGTTTGTGTAACTAAAAAAATGTGTACAAATAGGTCGTTAGTGGTCTTTTCAGTTGTATACATTTATTCTTTAACCTACGTTCTTGGTCACCAACCAAAACTTTTGGGCAAATTTTCTTCTGTTGTCCTATGTAGAACTCTTGATGTTTTAACTCTTCCGTTGTTGCTGTTTACAGATTGTTCATGTTAAACTTTTATGATAACAATACCGCGGTCTTTGGCTGGACCCTTGCCACCAAAGCTTACCTTTACTACAACATTTTCACTGTTCATTTACATTATATCCTTTCCAATGTTACTGTTTTCTTGAATTTTTTGATCTGACTAGTAACTTATTAAACTTATAATTAATTTATGCATGTTTGCAGATTTTTTCAAGGGGGCCAGCCCTCAAGCCTTATTCCCTTAGGTGTATATTTAGCTACTAAAGTCTACAAATATTCAACTTGGTTTCTCTTTTTCTGGCCCTATATCCTTTAAGAATTTATTGAATGGATAATCATAATTCATGATGTAGATCATTTTTAAAATCTCTTTATGCAAGATTAAAATATCAGATATCTGCACACCGGTACCTGACTGGTTAATTAAACACCAATAACTATTTTATTATTATAACTTTTTTTAACCAACACTAACAACACCTTTCGTGAGAAAAAAGAGAAAGAGAAAAAATTGATCTTAAACCTTAAAAATCCGTACTAACATCATATTGTATCAATATTTTTTCATCTGAGGTGATATTTTAAGCAATTGTGAGTAAGGGAATGTCTCAGTTCTAACTCATTTAATTATACATTTAGATAATCATCCTAACAAATTTAATATATCGGTAACATGTCTCTGGACCATAAACGCTGAATGGAAATTAATCTGTTTTCCACATTTAATGCAATATAATGTTATGTACAAGCCTTCTTTTAACTGTGAAACTCTGAAAAATTTTACACCAGCTTACACAGTTTCAGATTTAAATATCTGCTTGGTCCCCAATGCACAAGATATACCTCAAAAACTAATCTCATCATCAGTTTGACTTTGTCATTTTACTGCTGCACATGATGTCAGTCTATAGGGTCATTCAACATTTTTCTCTGTGTTTTCTTTTTACTTAACTCTCTATCTTTATTTGCTGCTGTATTATGCTCCTTTGTTTTTTTGTTTTTTTTCATGATAACTGTTGCTTAACAAGTTACTGGTAATTTCCTTAACCACTTCCCACATGTAAATACTCCAATCATCTTAGCATCTTTCTTTATAACCACTGTTGGCCTGTACTACTGTTTTTACAAGTCATGGAAGGTAGATCCTGGGTACCTTCACACAACATCAGCTGAAAAACACAAGGTAAGACATCTTTTGGTATTCAACACAATACACTGGTATTCTGAGTTTAAAAAAAAGGTGCTAGCAGTAGTTCAAAATAGTGTCATATTCTGGTCATTCTCGTAAGTATAGTTGGATTTTACCAAATGAAGAGTCATTTATTTTAATGAGGTACAATAATTTATTTTTAGTCCTAGTCTAAATGCATAGTTTAGTAATAATTACTATAATATATAATAATTAATAATCAATTATTGATTATTGTAGTATTATTGGTAAAACTATTTCTTGTATCCTATCGTCAAGTACTGATTTACAAGGCAAGCCTAGAAAGGATTGCTTCCCTGCTACTTTATGGGTTGGGACCAGGTTGTTCAAAGCTAGGGTTAAGGTAACTCAGGGTTAGTGCGAAATTTGTTGTCAGATAATATTATTGTGAAAGCTTAAAAAGCAAATTCAGTTCAATCCTTCTTGTATACAATTTGATGATTGGGTGCTCTAAAGAGAAGAGCAGAGGAAATTATCCAAGAATGTGCTTTTGAACAAAAGAAAAAGAAGCTGTGAGTAAAATTTAACCCCTGGTTTGCACTAATCTGCCTTTGAATAACTGGGCCCTGGTTATTTCCATACAATAAATGTTGTTTTTATTATCTTTAAAATTGAATGAGGATTCTCTAATTATTAAAATTATTTTGTGCCTGTTCATTAAAAGTTCTTATTTGCTTCAATCTGTAACCACTTCAATCGTTGACAATGTAACTGTTCTGTTGTAATTTCTCCCTGCAGACCATTATAGAACTTGTTGAAAAGAATTCATTTAACTTCAATAAGTTTTGTTCAACTTGTCTTGTAAGTACATGATCTTTTTAAGAAAACCATACTCCTTTGTTTTTAGTTGTTGTTGTTCAAAGGTTGCTTGTTGTTTTATGGTTTCTTCATTATGATAATAAATTTCTCCCACAGCTACTGAAACCCATCAGGTCAAAGCATTGTTCTGTTTGTGATCGATGTGTAGCCAAGTTTGATCACCATTGTCCATGGGTAGAGAATTGTGTAGGTGGGTAACAGTTTGTTTTTGCACCCTCAAAATTATTTTTATTGTATCTTCTGCCGGGATGATGTGAATGGGGTGATCACCAAGTGACGTAACATAATAGGTTGATAACACACTGAAAAATACTGGCGTTCTACCATAGTAGCTAACCAACAATAAATACTACCTGGATGACGGGTTTTGAAGGGGAGGGAAAAGGTGAAATTAAGCTGCACAAGAAAGAAGGGAAGGGAAAGGAAGGGAAGTTTGGTAGTATGCCTATGATTTACAATCCCCTTTCTTGCAGTTAAGATCGGATCATATACCTTCAATTCTCTATTAAGCCCCTGGGGGGCTTATTTAATTTAGCAAAGACAGTGGTATCAATTCTCCATAAAGAACTAGAATACATTTATTGGAAAATCTCAAGTACAAGAAGTTGGAGGTCATGCAGCCGAGGATCAAAAACAAATCTTAACTTCCAGTTGGTGAATAAACCATCCCGGATCAGTCCACACAAAGTTTTATAGTCGTGGTTGATTAATACAGTCTGTCATTTATTAGTGAAGAATAATTAGGGGAGGGAAGGGGGGCATAAAAGAGAGGGGGGACTTATTAACTTTCTCCCCCTGAAAAAGGGGGCTTGTTAGCGAGGGGGGGTGCTTAACATAGGATTTACGGTACATCATGTAAAACAATGGCATCTTTGCACGAGCTCTCTTCCTTTTCTCTCACGCAGGTGCGCTTCATGAACTCGCGTGCTGCCCCTTCCCTTGCATTGCCCTTCGACGACATCCCATGCAGGCTAATCAACAATATTTTTTACAAGAAGACTCTTGGCCAAAGGGCATAAATTTGTTTGTTTGTCTGTGTGTTTGTTTGTTTTTCAAGTAGGTCTTCGTTGAGTTTGTCTTATTGGGCAAAATGTGAATGATTGTTCTGACTAAGTTGCTCTAACATCTTCAACCTGATCATCAGATGATCTGAAGAGAAGTCACTCACTCGAACGTCCGGGTAGTGGGGGGAGTTAATTTATTTTTCTATTTTGTTGTTGTCACAGGTGTCGGAAATCACGTGTACTTCTTTTGGTACTTGTTTTTCCTGTTTCTTATGATTCTCTGGTACATCTATGGCGGAACAGTCTGTAAGTCAACGCTTCTCTGTTTTTCAAAGGTTAACTTGTTTATTTAGTATTGATATTGACCTTATATTCGCTTGCCCTTGGAATCCCTGATCATTTGCCTTTTTAGAAATGAAAAGGGAAATGGAGCCGAGATGTGTCCCGCAATTTTTCCTACGATCGTTACTGGGGACGCGCCGGTCAGCTATTGACCTACCGTAAAATTCCGAGAATAAGGCCTTCCATGTATAGGCCCCTCCAAATATAAGCCCCCCAAACTCGTAACGCAAAAAACCCTCCATTAAATCGCCCCTCCAAATATAAGCTCCCCGGGGGTTTGTACTTGGAAATTGCCCTCAAATTCTAAGGAAAACAAAGCAAAAACGGTAAATTTCCTTCCAACTATAAGGCTAGCCCAATTGATTTTGAAACGCAAATTTCCCTCCATAGATAAGCCCCTCCGAACATAAGCCCCTCCAAAAATAAGCCCCTCAAAAAGGGCCCTTGAAAAATATAAGCCCCGGGACTTATTTTCGGAATTTTACGGTATTTTTTTTTTTCCTGTCCTTAGTCACAATCCCAGAAGTCTTTGCAAAAGTTAACTAGACCCAGTTTCCTTCTCTCTTTTTTAAAGTAGCGAGTGGGCTGTGAGCAAGTTTTCTATTGAGATACTCATCTCTCACGCCTCGTTTCACCGGTATCGGGTCGTTTCGCCCAAAGGTCGATTCGCCCCATGCTAGTTCGCCCAGACTAAGTCGATTCGCTCGATATGTATTTGTCGTTTTTTAAGCTTGAGAAAAAGGAATAAGCGTGGCGAGACAGTGACTGCACATGTGGAATCCAAGGTTAACCAATAGAACATCTCGGAGTAGTAGGTTCACCGTGTTGTAGAGTGTTGTGTGTCATCTGGCGAATCGACTTAAGTCCTAGCAAACGCCTCCGTGCAAATCGGCTTTCTGGCGAAACGACCGCAGTTCGTATCACTAGCCTCTTAGGTTTGATCCCTCTCTTTCTTCTTTACAGCAAGAAGCAAAACAACCTTCATGTACTTGTGTCACAGCATTTTCATAGACCCCTTTATATGGCATGAATTGTGAATATCATATGTCTCACAAACCAGTCAGCAAAACGCACAGACCTGAAAATGGTATTTGTGACGTTCTAATGACATTTTAGTTTTCATTTTTCATATCTGATACTTCGAGTTCCTATATAGAAGGAGCAGAGCTCCCATTTATTACTTCCAATATTTTGAATATACACGTCTCATGGCTTTAAAAATGACAAGAAAACTGCCTGTCTTTGCTATTTATTAAAACCTTGTTGAGTACCACATCCCCCGGACTACCAGTTAACCAGTTCGTGAAAACACGGTGCATAACCCTATAGATCGTTTTCACATGACGTCACGGCGGCCATATTTCTGTACAAAACAATAGATTGGCGGTCATGTTTGTGTACAAAAAAAATTCTGTGCAATTGAACTCTTTTCACATGTTAAAACTTTCTTTTATTCCAAGCAATTTGTAAAGCTGCTGACCACCCGAGTTAAAACGATCTATCGTGAAGTCTCTCGCTTTGGGTTTTGGGCTCATGTCAAAGTCCAGCCTTCCCTGAGGAGAATTAAAGTGATGTCTTAGGTTTGGGCCCCGACTCTCCTCCCTCGTAACCTTCTAATCTACTAACTTATGTTAATCTTTGTGTCAGATTATGTTAAAGCGTGCGGTCCGTACCATGAAGGAGTGTGGAATGCTGTTACTCAAAGTGTCTATTGTGCACCTTGGGTATCCTGGGGCTATCTCAACGCCTTGTTTCATGTGATGTGGGTCGGTGCCCTCCTTTTCAGTCAATGTTATCAGGTAGGAAATTCTCTGTGCTGTCCTCTGCGCATTCTTTTGTGCTATTCAGAGGAGCTCATATGCTATCCATGTTATTGTTAGGAGGTAGCTTCTTCCAGGTTCCAAGAGAGCAGTGCAGTCGTACAGTAAAAAGTGGCGCGAAAAATGCGCGGGAGCTTGGGAGACAGAAGGCCGTGCTAATTTTTCCCGCCTCCGCCCCCTGGCCTTCCCCAGATCGCGCGCTTATTATTTTCACTTGGCTTGTTTTATTTTCACGGCGTCCCACTTTTTGAGAGCCTGGCATAGGCTAGTTAGGAGGAGGCACCGTGGCCGAGTGGTTAGAGCGTGGGAATTGCAACCCGGAGTCCCGGAGTTCAAGTCCCGCCCTGACCGCTAACTGGATTTGTTCACGGTGGTCCCGAGTTCATCTCCTCGGCCACGCTTGTAAATAGCCAACTGGTTTGCCTCCGGCCAGTTGTTTTTTTTTGCCCTACTTATGTTGATTTTAGTTATTTGTTTTTGTCCTTATTTTTTTACTACAATGTAAACTGTTGGTTTAGGCCCAGTTCAAACGTTTAACTTTTCATGTATCGAACTTAAAATACCTATTTGGGTCGACCCAACTGATATAAGCTTGACGGTTGATTCAGAACCCGAACTTGATTCATCTATCTTAATTTGTTTTTACTATGTACAATGGTCTACAGTGTTTTACTTTATCAGTGAAAACAAATAACAGTAATTCATGCATTGGGTTCGGCACTTGAAAAGTTCGACGGTTGAAACCAAGTCGCTCCTCAGTCGAAATTCCCATGCGGGCCACTCGATCTTAATTTATGGGTCGACCCAAATAAGATATTTTTGACTTAATTGATTCAAACGTCGATGTTTTTATGTACTTAAAGGGATTAGGGTTCGGTACATGAAAAGGAAGACGTTTGAACTGGACCTTATCAGTAATTGTGTAACCCTTATAAAGTCAATTTTTTGCCGTTGTTGAAATATTCAAATTTTTTGCCAGATATTTTGGCTGGGAATGACCACTAATGAGCGCCTGAATATGACAAGATACCAGCATTTCATGGACAATCACGGAGTCGCACAAACCCCCTTCAGGTAAGTTTAACCTTGTTCCAGCGCATACAAGGAAGAAAGGTGTTTTTGGTTATGTTCGTACTATTCCGGATCGATCTATGTGCCAGAACAGAAATGCAGATATGGGCCAAGTTGTTCAAAGCTGGGTTAAGATAAGCCAGGGTTAGTGCGAGATTTGAATTCAGATATGAAAGTTAAAAAATCATCTCAGTTTAAATTCTTTCTGTCGACAAGTTGATTATTAAAAGCTTTAAAAATAACAGAGAAAATTATCCGAGAAAAAGCTTTTAAACCCAAGAAAAAGAAACCGGGGTTAAATTCAACCTCGGGTTAAACGCTAATCAGCCTTCGAACAACTGGGCCATGGTATGGTATACCGTATTTACTCGCACAAGCGCCGCCCCTATTGAGCCCTACATTTGGGACAAAAATGCCGCGGCCCCGATACAATCAAAATCTAAAGGCGAAAATAATTATACTGTAGTTAAAACAATTCTTGGTCGCGTCCAACTTTCAAATAAACGCCACCCTCGAATAAGCTCCGCATTTGAGGTGTGAAAAAGTTGATAAGCGCGTATACGAGTTAATACGGTACATGCGTTATTGATCAAGCGCGAGGTCAAAATGGCTGAATATTGGCCAAGTTCTTTTTTTCGTTTTTATGGACGGAGAGGAAGTCGAGGTCGATAAAAACTCAAAAAGGAACATGTCCAATATCCAGCCACCTTAATCGAACACGCTTGGTCAGTAAAGGATTTATTAAGTGACCAAAAAGAGAACTTTCTTCTTGCGGGACCAATGCGGGAAATCCTGAGCGGGCAAGATAGGCCCACCTTGCCCGCTCGGGTAGCCAATCAGAACACAGTATTCGCTTCATCTTGCCCGCTGGTGGATTCAGCCATATAATAAGCAGTCACTACGCCCAACGCCATGCAACGCCCAAGGTTGTTCACACTACTGCTGCATGGCATTCGTTCGACGTTTTCGATGGTAGCATACGTAATTTTCATCCGGCCGGATCCGGTTGCTTGTTCACGTTACACCCTGGAGCGAAAGAAAAAAGATATGGTATAACTGAAGTAGATCACTTTAACGAGCGTCATGTCGCAGAGGCGTTCCAGAACAAGAATTTTACGGAAACTAGGGCTTGCGGACAAGAGACATATCCTGTATGGTTTTCGAGATGTAACAGTTATCTGGTGTGGTATGAATCCCGGGGATACTGGAGGAATTTTTTGTCGAGGGGGATATGCCGCTAGTAACCTTGAAAACTTATCCTTCGAACTGGCCAATCAAGTCGTTTATAGACAAAATCACGGCCACGAAACAAAGATAGATGTTTCGAGCATTACAACTCTATCTTTTAGAGAGAAACTGGAATAATCTTTAAGAAGTCGTGTTCGAGGTTTTCAAAAGGTTTCATTGGTCCAACCAAGCTTTTTCCTTGACTTTCCTGTATTTCTGCTGTGTTCTTTTACAGTTATTTAACAATTATTCCTCGAGCCCGTATGGGCTCTGAGTCAGTAGCCCATGGGGCCAAATGGGCTATTGACTCAGAGGCCATGAGGGCGAGAAGAATAATTGTTTTAGTAAAATCCAACTAGTTGGTCAAAAATATCGAGACAAAACAACTTTAGCTAGCAAAACGCGATTAATCCGCCATTGTTTTGGTTTTCAAAGCCGGCGCTTTTGGCTACTACTGGGCTATAACATATAGCCTAGTAGTAGCTCAACCAATCAAAACGCCGCATTGATAATAGACCACTGGTTGGATTTTACTAAAAACTGTCATCGGATTCTCGATACTTCTTTTAATTCTAAAAGCAGTTGGAAAGTGCTAATCTACTAAGAATATCTCAGCTTTTATTTTTATTAACTTATTTTGCAGTCGGGGTCTTCTTGGAAACATTGCTGACTTTTTGAACGTGAACCTTTGCGGCCTGGCAAGGCCTTTCCACGTGGACTGGTACCATCAGTATGATACTAACTTGACCAGAAGCCATAAAACAGTATGACATCAATAAATATATCATTCTGGAGCATGCATAGCAACTTGACAAGAAGCTGTAAAACAGCATTAATTCGATATATATCTTTTTGAAGCATGCGTGAATACTTGACAAGAAGCCACACGACAGTGTGAAATCGACATTCGTCACTGTGAAGTATGCATAGCAACTTGAGAAGAAGCTGTAAAACAGCATTAGATCGATATATATCGTTTTGAAACGTGCGTGAATACTTTACAAGAAGCCACACGACAGTGTGAAACCGATATACGTCACTGTGAAGTATGCATAGCAAATAGCAACTTGACAAGAAGCTAAAGGCAGTATGACCCTAGATGTGTTCCATAGGAGCTCATTCAGTAACCATGCTGGCCCTCCCTGCCAGGGAATCAGCACAGGCTCCTTCGTCTCCTCGCTGACAGTATAAATAATCGTTTGCCGCGGGCGGGGAATTGTCGTCTTAAACCGCTTCCGAAATGAGTATTATATTTATTGGAGTTGATCATCCCGGCATTTTCTACCAAATCATACAACAATCCGTATCGTTCTCTCCATTATAGCTTTTTAGTGTGTAAGTATGCAAACAATTTCTGAAAGGTAGATGTTGCGCTTCCTGTTCATGATATCAACTCACGTTCTGGTCGCAACCATTAGCCTGAATATAAAAGCCCTGCTCCGCTACTAGGAGCCGCTGAATGTGTTGAATCGACATCCAAGAAGCTGATACTTTTGGAGTTTCAGGAAAACCCCAGAATCGCTGATATTCAGTATTTGGTATCGGTATTTGGCCCACCGTTTTTATGGTGATACCGTAAACTGCTGCTTGTATGCCCTGGGATCCTACAACTTCATAAGGGGGTTATAAACGGAGGGGCTTATTTATAGCAATACTGATATAAAAAAAAAACGTATTGCATTTACCGGTTTTCATTTACGCTTCAAAATGTCGTAAAAACTCGAATTCCTTTCAATACACTCGGAGGGGGGGACGTATACCAGGGGTAGGGGGTGTCTTATAATTGGATGTATTTTTCGTTTACTGGTAGGTGGGCCTTGGCGCGGGGCAGGGAGGGGGTGGGGGGGGGGGGCTTCCAAGCCGGGGTTTACGGTCTATGGGCCTTGTGCAGAATTACCGTAATTCATTATTTTCCCTAACCATCGTTTTGTGATTTCTATCTTCCGCAGCTTTACGTTAATCCCTTAACGCATAGG